GGTCTTCCAATGATTTACTCATCACCACTCTAACTCTGTCCACCTTGAAAAAAGTGATGCAGAGAAACAAATAGGCCATTCTTGAACGGGTGCAAATATCTACATCAGGGGTCCCCAAACTTGGCAGCTTTAAGACTTTGGATTTCAACTCTCAGAATTCTCCAGCCAGCTATGCTGGAAGTTGAAGTCCACAAGTCTTAAAGCTGCCAAGTTTGAAGACCTCTGATCTACATGCTCAGATGTAACCCACTTATAATGCACAATACATTTGAAATGTTAGTAGATTCCTGTTTTCTTTTTAGGGGGGCTATTCCATCATCATTTAAAGCTTTTGAGGATTATTGCATAAACTGGAGGTTGTTATGAGTTCCATATGAATTTTATGACATATTTCGAACCACCCACTTGGTATCTGTAGGGCCCACCAAATTAAGGAAAGATGAACTTTAAAAAAAAATTGTGGTCAATAAAAATTGCGATCTTTTGATATTCCATATATTAGCACCTGCTCCAGTTGCCAAATATTCCTGTGAATTACGAGTTTGGGAATGAATTACATTACCAATTAGTGGTGGTATTCAGCCGGTTCAGACTGGTTTGGGCAAACATAGCCCGGCACTATGTCACTTTTTGTAAGCTGCGCGCATGCGTATAAGCCACGAGTGTGAGCAAAGTGCATGTGCGGAAGGCCGTGTGCATGCATGGAAGGCGCACATACTCACATTTTTGGTACACAGCAAACCGGTGGTAAAATTATGTGAAACTTGTGGTGGGTTGCCCCTGGTTCGGACCGGTTCTATAGAACTGGTAATAAAACCGGCGGGAGGGTCCACCCACCGACCCCAAAGTCATCAGGACGCTACCGTTGCGAATCAGTAGTAAAGGTAAGTAGAACGCACCCCTCTGTGTGAAACCCACCTCTGATACCAATGCATTAGTTAGTCCTTGACATATAACCATTTGACTTATAACCATTCATTTAGCAACCATCAAAGATATGACAGTACTGAAAAAAGTAGCCAATAACCAGTCCTCATACTTATAACTCAGCATCTCATAGATCAAAATTTGGGTGTATGGCAAGCAGCATGTATCTACAATGGTTGCAACATCGCAACATCTTGCTATTTGTGACCTTCCTAGAGCGCTTCCGAGAAGCAAAATCTGTGGGAATCGAGATTAGTTTAATGATCATGTGATTTGCTTAATGACCACAGCAAAAAAGGTTGTAAAATTGACCATTAACAACTGTGCAACTTAACAACAGAAGCGTCAGTCCGAAGCAGATTGCAAATTGAGGACATTGAAATGACCTACTGAAGGTGACCATTGTAGTGTGCAAAAAGTTAACATACATTTGGAAAGCTGTATAAAACTTTAAAGTTGGGTACTTTACACTACTTGGCTGAGTTGGGTAAATAAAGGTTGTTATGACTATGTTTTACTTAAATAACGTAAAATAAGAAAGCTGCATTTTTAAAAAAGCATATCTTGACAGATATAGAACAACTGAATCCATTGCAGCAGTCAGATAAGATGTGTAGAAAATATATGTATAGAATACAATAGAAAATATAAATTTTCAGTTATTTTAATAAATTGTTTGAAAAATTAAAAACTTTGGAAACATGTATTTTTAGACTGATCTAAAGAACATCTGGATCCAACATATTGGATCATAGAACGTTCCACTGTAACTCATGCAACTTGCTATAATTTGTTTAGGATCAATGTTCCAGAAACATAAATACATTAGCCCCAATTAAAATGAATTCTAGTTGAAATGGGGGCTGCAGGGTCACTAGGATGCTTTTGAAAATCTAATCCACTAACTTTCTTTAGAATTTAAATGAGTGACCTTAAGCAACTTTTCTTCAACAACCATTAATTATTGTGATACTTATTAGTTGAGAATGGCATTTAAGGACACTTTTTCTTTAATACCTGTTCCACAGAACAGCTAGAAAAATAATTAAGAGTTCTGCACTTTGATTTTCCCTTCACTCCCACAGTTTACTCTCCTGTAATTAACTTTGCACATCTGAAATAAGCTTTAATATTATTTGAACATTTAAAATGCCTTCACTGAACCAACCAGTTTATCTGGCGGATAAAAATTCTGGCTATTGTTTTCATAATATTTTCGATGTAGCCTCCACTATTTTCACTGACAAACGCACCAGGACAAATTAAGCCCAGGGATTTATGGAGCTGCAAAATGGTGGCCAGAGATCACGATTACCAGTCTTGTAAGAACAACTAGACAAGGGGTTCTATGAAGCCAGAAATTATGTATTATCCATATTACGAGTGACTTCAACTAGTCAGGAACTGTTGGAATCTTATCCCTCAGAGAAATGTATGGAAATAAAACCCATGTTCTTTAATATTCTCTGGGTGGAAATTTTCTCTGGGTAGAAACACAATCTCCATACATCCATACAATCTTAAGTTTCCAACTCAAGTCAATTTAGTAGCTCATCTAAAAGCTCTTATATAATAAACTTCTAATCTATATAGTCTTATTCTTAGGCAAATACACTGTCAGTCTTTTCCATCTTAGAGTCTTCCAGATGTGTTGAATAGCATTATCACTTAGACTTATATACCACTTCACAGTGCTTTACAGCCTTCTCTAGAAGTCAGAGTCATTATATTGCCCCCCAACAATCTGGGTCCTCATTAAACACACATAATAAATAAATAAGCAATAAATAAATAGACACCAATCAATAAATACATAAATAAATAAAAATAATTTTAAAAAATAAATAAATAAATAAAATGAATAAATAAATACCCATAATCTATAAACAGCATGATATTCCATGAGTTCAGTTCTCTGTTATACCACCAGCTGGAATTATATTACCACCATTCCAAAATCTGGATGGCATTCAGCAAGCTATGAAATATCTGGCTGTTCCACCAGCCTCGAGGGCAGGGTACAAATGGGTTTTCTTTGATCATCTGTGGTTTTGAGGACTGTTCATATTTTATTTTTTATCTTTTGTAATTTTTTAATTTTTTAAAAAATTGTAATCTGCTTAGAGTTATGTATATTTCATAATAAATAAATAAATATTTTAAAATGACTAGAATATTGCCTTTAAGATAGTTTATTAGAACACTGATTTTTATTTAAGTAGGTACTTAAGGACTTATTGGACCATAGCAAGCATGTTTATTGCTAATGCCTAGATATCAGCATGAATGTGTGTTTTATATTGCCATAAAACAGTAGCCATTCATTTCTTTGTTAAGTATTATCATACAGTCAGTTACAACTGAGTGGAAGCAATTGTTGTTTTACATTCTTTCTTCATGGATTTCTAGAGTTATAGGAAAAAGCAACTCCAGTAACAGTTCAGCTGTTAATGGAGAGTATCAGATTCTGAGTATTCAGATCAGTTTGGATAATCTGGCTTGTATAAAATTTGTATAATTGGATTATACAAATTTTATCTGGCTGCAATGGCAATTAAGTAAGATATGAAAAAAACCTGCTCATGATGCTTAGATTATTAGTCATGTATCAATTATTATCCATTTATGGATATATTTATTCAATATATTGATATATTGATACTTCCGACTAAAAGTTTAAAGTAGCTTGTTGTAAAATAAACAATAAGTAAAAATGAATTGATGCTATAAACATGAATTGATTTTATGACTATACAACTATATTTATACAAATATACAAGTAACATATAAATATACAGATATGAATATGCAAATATCCAAATGAAAAATGAAATAAACAATAAAATAGAGAATAAATATGATCATTAATACATTATTATTTCAAGTAAGGCCAATAGAACACAGAAAAAAAATGTTCTCCTTAAAAATAAGAAGAAAATGCAAAATATTGAACAAGATTATACTTAACCCCATCAAATACTCATCAAACTCCATCAAAATCCCATATTTCATCAATATGAAAATTCATTGCCACTCATGTAGGAATTTTCCAAAAAGAATAAAATATGGGAAAGATAACATTCCCATATATGTGAATTAATAAAAGCCAAACAAATATGGTTTAGTTTAAAATTTGGAATGTGTTGTTTCAGATTTTCTGCAAAAATGCTTATTTGAGAGGGCTTTTAAACTAGGTACATAATTCAAGCCAGGTGTCTCTGTAGAAATATGTACAAATACAGGTGTCCATGATAAAAGAAATGTGAGCATATCTCTTATGTAAGTTATTCAGAGTGTTAAATATGAGCAGTCCCAAGTAAGTTGAATAAAATTCAGTCTATTAAAAGAGAAGTAAGCAAATTTGCCCTGAAAATTATAGCTAGATTGAAGGCATCAGGCAAAAGCAAAGTCATAGAAGGTCAAGATTCAATGTAGGTTGAAGAAGATCAATATTTCAAATACGGAGTGACAAGACTATGTGCTCAACAAAATTTGCCTCAGTTAGCCCACACTCTGCTGGTCCAGCTGGTGATGATTACTTCACAATTGGACCCTACTTCTCCCTTGAAGTCCAGCTTTGCAATCTTGCCCTTGGCGATGCTCAACTCATTAAATTTCTCCCGCCCCCAAACTATCATGGTACATGGTTAAGAGAATATAAGAGCAATAGTTCAGGTTCTGAACTACTACTATTGTACATCATACAATAATGATCTGATTCAAATTGGTTCTTAGTCTGTGTTGGGATCTGGGTTTCTGAAGAATCCACTCTGTTTCTGCTAAATCTGGATAATGCAGCAATGGTCAATGTCTTGTATTAAGATTGACTGAAAACATATGCCATTTTCTAACCATCTAATACAATCTGTTCAACTGGATTGTGTTTCGCGTTACCCTAACTTTGCACCGAACAAATCAAGATTTGATAGGGAAATCTTTCTCTCTTTTTTTTACTGTTTGTACAATTCTCCCTATGCATTCTTAATCTGCAATTTTTCCAAGAAGGAAGAAAGGAAAATAGAGTGAGCCAATATTGTATCACTCTAATTTAGTTTTTTCCTTTTCTTTTATAGGTTGTCATTTTGTATTTTGAGCCAAGTGTTTTTCGGTGTATTCTCCTAAGGTGGGTTCGTCTTCTGGGATTTGCTACAGTTTATGGAACAGTCACACTGAAGCTGCACAGGTACAGAATACTTTGCTGTTTCTAATTTTGTATAAATTTAGGGTGCATGTGTCCACAAATGTTTGTGCATGAGTATAGGAGTGCATTATGACCTTTTTCTCATAATAGTATTTTATTTTCAAGCAATGAACTAAAAATTTTTTTGCAGTCAGTGATTATGTAAATGCAGCAAAAAGCTTGGTCTGCTTTCTTTTTATGTGTGAACAAACCTACAAAGTTGTCTTATTCATTTCTTATTTTAAAAAACACCTTTTATATGTGAAAACAATTCTTGGTAAAACTTGATCTAAACAATAAGGGCGAAAATCTTTTTTCCTAATCACAATCTACACTCTCCAAAATAGAACCAGGAGAAAGAAACAGAACCAGGATAAAACTAAATTTGATTTAATTTTGCTGAAATATAAACAAAATTCATTAAATACTATTATGATGATTAATTATCTTTCTTGCTACACTGTTTTTCCATTGGTGGCTAATATTCCTTAAAGACTATTGCCCTATTCTCAGATTGTACAGTTCTGCATTATAGTAACAAGGTAGTTTAAGAAGTGAGAAACTTGAATACTAGCATTTCTAGAAAAGAAATGCTGTCAGTTTGAATTTAGAATTTAGTTGCATCAAGATTATTCAGCACTGCAGTTCTGCAAAATTTCCCCATCAAAGGCAGACTTTGATTCAAAGTTTTCTGGGGTATCAAGTTCCATGTGCATTGGTGAGGATTAGTAGTGAGCATGACTCAGATCTATTTTCATATGTAAGCACCCTGATAAATATTGACTTTGAGATCTTTTGTACTCCTTGTGGAAAACTTTGATAAGGGACAAATAAGCAAAGCACTAATAGGGAGATAATAATCTATTGATGGTTTTTAGAAGAAAATAATGAAGCTGCCTGAAAACTAATGCACCTCAGAGGAATATAGAATCAACCGAAGAAGTTGGCTCAGCTGTTTTCATAGGGCACGTTAGAGTGGCATTTGAATTGATTGTGCTATGTGAAAACATCCACATTTCATAGTGGGAAATTGCACAGGGTCATGGAACTTTGAACATCTCACTGTTAAGTTCTGGAACTGTTGCTTCTACAAAGACCGATGTGGGAAAACAAGTTAGCCAAGACCAATAGTGGTGCTGATATTACAGGTTAGCCAAGAAGAACAGATGCCCTACATCTTCTCATCAAGGTAGGGAACCCATGGCTTACAGAAGAAATGGTTCTCTGAACTGCTTTCCTCGTTGTTCTTCAGAGTCCCCAGAAATTACATTCTGGCATATTAGTGGCAAAGTCAGGAACTGACAGAAAATGAAAAAGTGTGATGCTTGCTGTATTTATTTACTGATTTCATTTTATTTTTATCAGGCCTTTTTCTCAGTTGGACTGACCTCATCCTCTTCACCACCCATCCACTTTGGATATCAAAGTATGCTGACTCCCCTCACACACTCACCCGGAAAATACCCAATCCCAATTATACATAGAAAAGAAACCAGTAGATTTAAATTGTACCATTGCACTGTGGAAAGAGTTCTAAATTGACCCGGTGAAAGGAAAATAATAAGTATTTAAAGAAACACACATACTAGATCCAGTCTGCTATCAACAAAGATAGATATACTTTCTCATTATTGTATCTTCCTTTCCTAGAGTGAAGAATTTCTGTACTCCACTTCAGCCCAACTTGGGCAGTCTTTTCCTTCCAAATAAAAGATAAAAGGTTGAATCAAAATCAAGGTCAACTCTTGATAACTTTCAACCAGACAGATTTCTTGATAATGTTATTTCCTTCCACTGGGATTTTTAAAAATCGTTTCATTTCTCAGTCTAGTCAGCTGTCCCTCATCTAAGTACTAACTAGGTGTGTTTCTGCTTATTTTCCCAGATCAGCCACAATTAGTTATATGCTACAATCAAAGTTCTTTGAACCATGAGGACAAGCAAGGGTGAAGGAATTAGTAATGTTAATGATATTATATGTCTTTGTTCTGCAGAGCTCTGAAGGTGTTCTTTTCTCGAACAGCTCAGCGCATTCCATATATGACAGGTGGGCGAGTGATGAAGATGCTGGCTGTGATGTTTTTGGTTGTGGTGTGGTTTCTGACAGGCTGGACTTCAGCAGTCTGTGAAAACCTGCAACGAAATATTTCACTCATCGGCCGAGGGCAAACATCAGATCATCTGATCTTCAATATGTGCCTGATAGACCGGTGGGATTACATGATGGCTATTGGTAAGATGCCATGGTTAATGTTGATAACAATGAGAATAACATCTGCTTAGTTGTTTTAAAAACACTCTTTTAAACCAAGTGCACAGTAATATGGGGAAAAAAATCATCAATTTAATTATTAGTCTGTACAGATTTACTGAGAAGTAACTCTTGGTTTCCTAAAAGTTATTACCAAATTATTTATCATATTTAGGAACTACTGCCCATATCCCTCACAGATTATACAGCTTTATTGTCTTAAGTTTGTATAATATTATTTTGTAATTGAAAAAATAATAATTTATCAGAAATAAGTGATAGAAAAGGACATTTGGATGCTGTGATGATTAAGTTTAATTCAGAGAATCGTGTATGAAAATATTAAGACTGACCAGTCTTTGAAAATGTCAAAATAAATGTTTTGGATCTCACACAAGCACACTACCTCTGTTATTTTTTTTTTTATTTGATTTATATGTCTCCCTTTTCTGGAAACTCAGGGCGGCTTACAATGCGTTAAGCAATAGCCTTCATACTTTTGTATATTTATACAAAGTCAGCTTATTGCCCCCACAAACTGGGTCCTCAATTTACCTACCTTAGAAAGGATGGAAGGCTGAGTCAACCTTGAGCCTGGTGAGATTCGAACTTACAGTAATTGCAGACAGCTGGTGTTAATCACAATGCTTTTAGTCTGCTGAGCCACCAGGCCCTGTTATTGATTTAAGCAGCCCAACTTTTTTCAGACTTTGCATCCGATCTTGAAAGTTGATATTGCCACTTTGAAAAGTCCACTCATTAAAGTGGATGTAATTTTAAAGCAATTGTATTTTTTTTCAAGTCATGAAAAAATTGACCTTATTGAGCAGACTCATTAAAATCAGTGGAACAAGTAAATCAAAACTAGTTTCTGTTTCCTGATTTCAAATGATCTAATCTAAGTATAATTAAGTCCAATTCGTTATGGCTATAAATTCAGAAAGTGCTTTCCTTTCTTTGAGATAGATAGATAGATAGATAGATAGATAGATAGATAGATAGATAGATGGATGGATGGATGGATGGATGGATGGATGGACGCACGGACAGACAGACAGACAGACAGACAGACAAAGAGAAACAGAGAGCTATAGAGAACAGTGAGGATTATACTATGTCTTACTGAAGGTTAGAAGAATTATATGCCTCACTATGGATATATGGACTTTTCTTTCTTCTTCTCAAGCTTCCTATTCAGTGTTTTAGAGAAAACCAACCAAAGCATGGGTAATTGAAGAGCAATTGTAGTAGACTGCATTGAGTGACAGTAGCTAACTGGTTTTTGCTTTTCCAAAATTTCAGCCACCATGTATCTAATAAACAAAGTTTCTGTTAGAACACATAGTAGTCTTGGAAAAGTTCAGAATTTGGAGGAAAATAGAAAATTGCTAATAAACCATTTCCTCCTTTCTTCAAGTGTGACATATATGCATTATCGATGTATATTTCAGGCTGGCCTATTAAAAGAAAAAGTAAATGCAATGATTTACAGACAAATAATATTGTAACACATGGTTTTCCAGAAATATGAAATTGAATGCATATAGAATGCAAGAGATTTAGTAGAAGAACTGAATGCATTAATCAATTATGAGGTGCACTTACCCAATTACTAACTTGAGAGTCAAGCTATAATGTGTTCTCTAGTTCAACATCCAACTGGTTTCTGGGAACATCACAAAAATGGGTCTTGTTGGTGTTTGGTTCATCTTTTCCACCTGTAGATAATTCCACTGGCAAATGGGCAAAGGCAGGATCAGTTTAAGGTAATTGGGAGTCCAAGCAGCACCAGGTTTGTACCACTCAGGCTTACATACATACCTAGATTGCTTGATGGAGTCCTATAAAATGAAATACTGTGTATAGTGGTAAAATGATGTATTTAGTATAAAATGCCTGCAATACTTGTATTAAAAATTAATTGTGTATGCAGGAGAAACAGTGTGGATACAAAATTTAAATACTTATTTTTTTTTAATTCAAAATTGTTTGTTAGTTTTATATCCCATCTTTTCATTTAGGAGCTCTGGAGGACACACGTAGCACTTCTCCCTCTCATTTTCACCCACAACAAACTCTATGAAGTCAGATGGATTTCTTTAGAGAGAGATGTACATTCTCATTGGTAGCGAAAACAGAATTCCTTTTATTTTGCAATGTTCTTTTCCTTGTTTTTTTTCCTTGACACTTCTATAGCAATTACTTCCATTTCAGCTAGGCAGAGAACAAAAATAAAAGCTATCACCATGAGAGTTCTTCTACTCTACAAACCTTACCTTAATCTCCGTTTATTCCTGTCTTTTAGTTACATACCTATCCATGAGAGGCCTGTCATATTAACTTACTGTACTGAAGCTTCCTCAAGAGTCTTCTTTAAGGCAGAAAATAGGATGGAAAAAGTAGAAAATAGGATGGAAAAAGCCTTTTCTGCAGCTGCTGGACTTGCTTTCTATCCCAACCTGGTCAATGACAAGAGGCCCTAGTGAGGCATCATACATCAATCTCAGATCCTCCTTAATCATAACAGGCAGAAGATGTCCAGCTAGCTAGTGGAGCAGCAGTGCAGCTGGTGTTTGGTCAGGCACTACCATGCATGACAGAGCCACAGGGCCCTAGCCAATGTGATTTCCCCATGTTTTCAATCAAAAATACCAGAGTAGATTTATTTTCTTTCTTCAATCTTTGTGCCACTTTTCTTATTTGGAAGATCCTACCTGTTTCTCCTTTCTTTCCTTCCTGAATTCAGACTACATAGGCAAAGAGGCAGGATATGCATAGATCTTGGTTGAACCAGGATTAGGAGAAGCAAGGCAAGTGCAAGTGTTTAGCAGTTGCCATCATGACAGGAGAGAGAGTGGGGGGAGGGACCCTGCTTAGATAGCTTCCACTTGGGGGGAGTCAGTGTTCCATAACTTCCTGGAAATAGGAAACATTGAGAATAGTCCTAATCCTAATAGAACCTAAAGTAAATTAGTGGTTCAAGAACAAGTTAAGGCTAAGGTTAAGAAACATACCCTGAAAGAAAAATTAAAGACAGATTTCGTATGATTAGAGAAGAATTGTGTAGGACAAATAGAGGCAATCTTTCCTTGTTAGATTCCACCATTTTTAAACAGTCTAGCTCTACTATCCCAGAAATAAAGCAGAAACAAGATGGCTTGAAACTATAAAATGCAGTTGTGTAAGATCAAAATTTTCTTTCATACAGTGATTCTTTTCCCTTTTTTAATGTATCAAGTTGACTTCACATTTTTCACATTTAATAGCCTATGAATTGTTCTACACACCTTAATTGGCCCAAAGTATTTGAGAAATGTATCTTGTAAATGGAAGAAAAGAAATGAAGAGATTTTAGCCCAAATATTTAGAAAGAGCAAGCTTGCTTGCTGTTGATTGATGCAGTGGACAAACTTTTTCTCTTTTTTGTGGTTTGCATTTCATAGAACATTATCCCTTGGGAACTGCATACAGTTGGAGCAAGGCATGAGTGGGTGTGGTAAGACAAGATGTTTATGGAAACCTGCATTTTCTATCTGAAATGTCCTTTCCTCTTTCTGAAACTCTCTTTTTCTTGATTAAGCAGTTGTATGGCAGTATGCTATCTTTTTTTTTTTTTTTATCAGAGAACTAAACTGACAGGAGTTGTAGAGGGCTAACATAAGCCCAAAGCCCAAACTCATCTGTGAATTAAGCTAAGAGCTATTTGGAAATAAGTTTCTCATTTCTGGTTTATTGTGTCTATCTCCATGGGAAGATGCAAATGATGCAAATTACATCACATATATGTTTATGTCATGAAGCACATAACATACGGGGCTTTCAATTTAGTGTAATTTTTTTTTATTTCATCTTTTTAGGATTATAGTAGACATAAAAGCAATGACAAGACAATTTTAATAAATCTAAAGATACAACATATTCCTGATCCATAAAACATATCTTTGAACACTCTTTTCATCTCATGTCTTCAGCCTTTGTACTCCAACTTAGTTATCTGATTCTTTTATTATGTTTCTCAAATTATATTGAAGTGCCCAGTTAAAAATTCTAAACTGATAGGATAATATTGTTTTTATATATGTGCGTGCATCTTTGTATATGTAGGTGTCAGAAACAGCTATAATTAAGCTTTCTGCCATATAGCAAAGCAGAGTGGAGCCAAAACAACAGGAGCAAAGAAAGATCTTAAAAGGACCTATTAATGTTAATGTCACTACAGAGTCTTGTTTAATGTTATCTAGGAGGCCAAAATTTTATACTACTTTAACCTAATGTATGTGGGCACTAAAATTTCTACCCAGAATTATACCATTACAGATAACAAACTGATTCCAAACTGTTCTTAGGCAAGTGCAGACTGAATCTTCAACTCTTTTAACTTCCAATCACTTTGAATGATCACTGGTATATTATGATCTTTATAGAAAATGTATTTTCAACATTGATTCCTGCAGTTGTTGAGATTCAGAAATCAGTTAGTATCCTATACTGGCATGTAATAGTTCACCATGACTATCCATACTGTCGTATCACAATAACTTTATTATGTAACATAGTGCAGTTAAAATAGTTGATTAAGTTGGTATCTCTGATGCAATTTTTGCTGTTTGCATTGTGCTTTTATGACTGAGTTTAATTCATCTTGCTTCTATCTGGCCTCTTAACTTCACAATTTTTCAGTCTTTGATAAACATTCGTTCATGCCTGAAAGCTTTGCATCTAACTGTTGTTTCTTAGAATACCTAGACCGCAGGAAATTATGAAGCCTAGATATCCCGCTTGTTGCTGGAATGTTGGAGTGGTCTTTTTCCAAAGGGTAAAGAGTTGGAAGAGTACATTCTACCTATTCAAATTTAGAAAGAAAATTAAATGATTGAAGGAGGTCTCACCCCTGTCTACTTTACATATAGTCAATTCAATTCAGTTCTTCAAGTATTAGTGGAGAAGGTTCTATGCTGCAGATCAGTATGTTGTTCATTTAT